CCAGCAGCTCCCTTTTGTTTACCGGGCACAGAATTGTCCAGTTCTGTAGCAGTCCCAAGATTTTGTAGAACAACACCTCCATACTTTTTCATCCAGACCTCTGAAAACAAAGCTCATTCCTGAGTTTCCAAATCAACCACAACACAGCAAATGTTATCATATTAATAACACTATTCTTTTTGTCACTCAACCAAAGCTGTCCTATACTGACTATGTCACCACCTACCTCTAACCCTAAGATATCAGAGACAACTGTCCAACATCTTCTAGTAACAGCACAATCAAAAAACAAATGATGGCAGCTTTCATTCTCAACACAGAAAAGACAAGTTGCATCTTCTACTTTTCTACGCTTGGCTAAATTATCCCTAGTCAAAGTTCTGTTATTAATCAAAAGCCATAAAACATATGGACTCTTGGAGGAACTTTAATCCCCCAAACAGCCGATACATGCACTTGCTTAATACCTCTAAAATTAATGACTTTGTAAAGTGATTGAGAAGAGTAAGTTCCTTTAGAAGTAAACTTCCAGATCATCTCATCTTCCTCATCCGAAAGATGTACTGTTGAAACTAAAGCAACTACTTCTAACCATAACTGATAAAGGTCTCCACTTACTATTCTCCTAAAGGTGCATTTCAAAGTTGATCCATCCCACAACTCTGCAACTGTCTTACCATGCTCATTAATGATCCGGTAAATAGGCCAAAACTATATGGCCAAACTAAACGAACCTAACCAAGTGTCCTCCCAAAACCTAACTTTCCTCCCATTTCCCACCTTCCACAAATAACCCATCTTAGCAGCTTGTGCTGCCCACATAAAACCCTTAAAAAAACTAGAAGCATTTGAAGTTCTCTATCCTCTGACTTTCCCTACAAACTCTGAAGGCTGCAGTCATAGCAACCAGAACGCATGAGCTCTAGCCCCCCAATTCCATTTTATTTTTTATAGATTGTAGTAGCAAGATGAAATTCAATGGCTCCATTGTTTTTGACACGAAATTTAATGTTGTCTGCATGCCAATTGTTTTGGCAGAATGACTGTATGGAATATATGGAGAAGGCTCAACAGATTCACCCATCGGTTAGTCCATGTCCTGTCCAGGACCCTGGTCCTGTCCACAAGTCGTTACATCGGTTTGATACTTGGATTGTCTTAAAAAACATATTAGTTTGATTCTCAACATTTTAACCCGTTCTATTGTAATATATTTTGATTAATCTATACTGATATGGTCAAGTCTCACTGAACAAATAGTATATATCCAAATCATTTTATTTTGATCAGAAATAATTTCTGGAAAAGTTACTTTTCCTAATTCAAGTAGTATTGTTGTAATACCCGCAATGTCACCAGTTGTTTATAGATACATATTCTGGAAAAGTTCCTTTTCCTAATTCAAGTAGCATTGTTGTAATACCCGCAATGTCACCAGTTGTTTATAGATACATATAGATACCACAATAGTCCGAATATAAAGATTTTCTTTAGCGTTCTTCACGAGTTATGAATGTCCTGGTTCATGTTTTTCTAAATTGTTAAAATTATATGCATTTGTATCAAAAGTAAGTGGCATATGACATAAGCTTGCGATATCCCCTAGCCAAAAGATAATTACCAGGTCAACCTATTGTCACTTGATGAACTTCTGGGTAGTATTTTCTCCAGTCAACCGATGCTAGAATATGAAGCTGCAGGTTGTAGATGAAGTTGTATTCATAATTTATTGGAGATACAGGAAAACTAGAGGCACGCTAAGTTAACAGCAGAAGTACTTCATTGCTTACACACACTAATCAAATTTATATTTATAGTCAGTTTGTTTTGAGTTCAGATAAACTTCTTCATTGCTTCTCCCTTTCCCAAAGGCTAGTTTTTATGTGGGCCACGCCACCACGGCCCACGGACAACTGTTGATTACCATGGTCAGGTTTGGTGAGCCTCAGGGCAGCCTGTTCGCTGGTTGGTTTTTTGAGCTGATAAGTCCGGCCGGTGCTGGTTTGTTATGACAGGAAAACGCTGGCTAAAACCAACGAGCGAACGTGCTCACAGAACCTGCCGCGGCATCTCGACGCCGTGGAGCCCGGCGCTCCCCATCTTCTCGCAGCCACGGCCACGCGGAGTCGAGCGCAGCCACTGCGATGAGGGGCATCGGCGACACGGTGGCGAATTGGCGATCAGAGTGGAAGCAGAGGCGACTATCCTAGCGTCTCGCCCAGCGGTGGTGCGAGTGCGACATGACGAGGCCGCCAGACGCCTCCTGAAATAATGACGGAGAACCTTGTGAGCCGAGCCGAACTGCAGAGGAGGCGGCGCAAGGAAAAGGCGTGTGCGCAGCATTCGGCTTCTTCCCGCTGCCATTAACGAATCCGTCCGCCCTAACACTCGCCGAGACCACGCACGATCTAAGCATCGGAACAGCAAGTAGGCCCCTTCCATTCCATCTCCCCAGCCACCTCTTCCCTTCCGTGCTTCTATCCTCTGACTTTTTTTAAGTTCAAGGGCATAATGCCCCGGCCTTTCAAATATTATCAAAAGACCAAACCGTTTACAGCACAGTTTGCCCAAAGGGCGCCCAAACCCAACTGGCAGACGATGAACATCCGACCATCAACTATCAAGCAAAAACAAAACTGGCAGAGTTAAACTCCAAAAGCAGCCACTCGAACCACCCCTATTACATCACATGGAAGCTTCAGATAAAGAACCCTTCATAGGCAAAGCTCGGAGAAACCAGCAGCCTTGAGCACTTCCCAGGTAATTGAGCACCATCCTCTTGGGCTGCAATGGTCATGCTTCTGAAGAACTTTGCATTGCGCTTCTGGGGATATCGGGAAGCCAAGTGACCATCTTTGCTGCAGTCTTCAGATTCTTCAGGAATCCATCGAGCAGCTCCCTTTTGTTTACCGGGCACAGAATTGTCCAGTTCTGTAGCAGTCCCAAGATTTTGTAGAACAACACCTCCATACTTTTTCATCCAGACCTCTGAAAACAAAGCTCATTCCTGAGTTTCCAAATCGACCACAACACAGCAAAGGTTATCATATTAATAACACTATTCTTTTTGTCACTCAACCAAAGCTGTCCTATACTGACTATGTCACCACCTACCTCTAACCCTAAGATATCAGAGACAACTGTCCAACATCTTCTAGTAACAGCACAATCAAAAAACAAATGATGGCAGCTTTCATTCTCAACACAGAAAAGACAAGTTGCATCTTCTACTTTTCTACGCTTGGCTAAATTATCCCTAGTCAAAGTTCTGTTATTAATCAAAAGCCATAAAACATATGGACTCTTGGAGGAACTTTAATCCCCCAAACAGCCGATACATGCACTTGCTTAATACCTCTAAAATTAATGACTTTGTAAAGTGATTGAGAAGAGTAAGTTCCTTTAGAAGTAAACTTCCAGATCATCTCATCTTCCTCATCCGAAAGATGTACTGTTGAAACTAAAGCAACTACTTCTAACCATAACTGATAAAGGTCTCCACTTACTGTTCTCCTAAAGGTGCATTTCAAAGTTGATCCATCCCACAACTCTGCAACTGTCTTACCATGCTCATTAATGATCCGGTAAATAGGCCAAAACTATATGGCCAAACTGAACGAACCTAACCAAGTGTCCTCCCAAAACCTAACTTTCCTCCCATCTCCCACCTTCCACAAATAACCCATCTTAGCAGCTTGTGCTGCCCACATAAAACCCTTAAAAAAACTAGAAGCATTTGAAGTTCTCTATCCTCTGACTTTCCCTACAAACTCTGAAGGCTGCAGTCATAGCAACCAGAACGCATGAGCTCTAGCCCCCCAATTCCATTTTATTTTTTATAGATTGTAGTAGCAAGATGAAATTCAATGGCTCCATTGTTTTTGACACGAAATTTAATGTTGTCTGCATGCCAATTGTTTTGGCAGAATGACTGTATGGAATATATGGAGAAGGCTCAACAGATTCACCCATCGGTTAGTCCATGTCCTGTCCAGGACCCTGGTCCTGTCCACAAGTCGTTACATCGGTTTGATACTTGGATTGTCTTAAAAAACATATTAGTTTGATTCTCAACATTTTAACCCGTTCTATTGTAATATATTTTGATTAATCTATACTGATATGGTCAAGTCTCACTGAACAAATAGTATATATCCAAATCATTTTATTTTGATCAGAAATAATTTCTGGAAAAGTTACTTTTCCTAATTCAAGTAGTATTGTTGTAATACCCGCAATGTCACCAGTTGTTTATAGATACATATTCTGGAAAAGTTCCTTTTCCTAATTCAAGTAGCATTGTTGTAATACCCGCAATGTCACCAGTTGTTTATAGATACATATAGATACCACAATAGTCCGAATATAAAGATTTTCTTTAGCGTTCTTCACGAGTTATGAATGTCCTGGTTCATGTTTTTCTAAATTGTTAAAATTATATGCATTTGTATCAAAAGTAAGTGGCATATGACATAAGCTTGCGATATCCCCTAGCCAAAAGATAATTACCAGGTCAACCTATTGTCACTTGATGAACTTCTGGGTAGTATTTTCTCCAGTCAACCGATGCTAGAATATGAAGCTGCAGGTTGTAGATGAAGTTGTATTCATAATTTATTGGAGATACAGGAAAACTAGAGGCACGCTAAGTTAACAGCAGAAGTACTTCATTGCTTACACACACTAATCAAATTTATATTTATAGTCAGTTTGTTTTGAGTTCAGATAAACTTCTTCATTGCTTCTAAATTAGGGGGTGTTTGGGACTGCTCCACAAACTCTGCTCCACAAACTCCACCGTGGAGCAGCTCCATAAAAAACTGGAGTTTGTGGAGTACCTCTTTAGGTGCTCTCACAACTCCATCATTTTTCCTCGAACAGAGTGCGTGGAGCTGAAACTGTTTGGCTAAAAAACATAGAGCAGAGCTGAAAAACGTGGAGCGGAGCAGTCCCAAACACCCCCTTAATAGTCTACATTTGGCTCCACGCCTTTGGGCAATTCAATGAAATGGCACTTCTGTTGTCAATGGAGCTGAGTTCAAGGTTGGATGTGCCCCTGCTTTTTCCTTCTCCACATCTTGCAGTCTATTACCAAGGAGGTAAGCTTTAAGGGCATTTGGATCGTTCAGAAATGAACCAGACTGCCAAAAAGAACACGGATAAACATCAGTAGGACATTTGGCAAACGACTTAAATTCACTGGCTGGTTGTTTTCAAAAACTAAATTCATTGGCTGGTTTCCTCTAACAAGGTAAGGGCACGGCAACGCCGCGCTTGGCTTTCTAGTTCATTCTAAGAAACTTCAGAGCTTAACCTTCCAGGATATGATTGGTTGATAGCTTAAGTCTAAGAAAAATTCTGCTACATCAAAGTCAATTTGAGGAAATTAAAATTGTATTGCTTAAAGCAATTGCTGGTGGTACTCAGATACTGAAAGAGTGAAAGCGACTACATTAGTATTCAGATACCGAAAGAGTAACCATATTTTTGAAAACATTATCTGAATTTTAGGTTCCGGTGATGCATAATAGCGGCTGCAGCTTTCTTCTGCTGGCGGTATTCACGACGTTTTTGTAGTAGCGCTAGTTTTTAATGTTTATAGACAACTGTGCATACCTCTCCCTTTCCCGTTGCCTCTTTCGTTCTTTAGAATCATCATTACATTCTTTAGAATCAGCTTGCTCACCAGAACACACTTTAGTGATGTTGGTTATATCTTTAAATGGAGACCCCTTAGGTTGTTTTGGAGGCCCCATCTGAACATAAAAATTCACATAAATCGCATTTCTGTACTGGGCAAGGAAAAAGTTGTTCACATCTATCAAAAACATATATTTGCAAACATTTTTTCAGCTCTTTAGCAAATCAAGCCAACACGCCGAAGAAAAAGCAAGCAGAACAGGGCAGGCAAGCAGGACAGGGCAGTAAGACCAGGATGTCACCCTTCAACCGATTACAGCTAAGGTCCCTGAAAAACAAATAAGACAAAGATGACTACCAGAGAAAACTTGACCAAACTACAACCTAAGTCATTCTTAACTTACATCAGACCAATGATTCTAGTCAGACCATAGAAGTCCACTTATGGTGGCATAAGACAGCGTGTTACATAAAAGCAGGAATTACTGAACACTGACAGCCAAATCCTATATCAACTATTGCATAAAAAACAATGATTCTAGTCAGTTTTTCAGCTCTTTACCAAATCAAGCCAACGCACCGAAGAAAACAGGAGAGGGCAAGCAAGCAGGACAAGGCAGTAAGACTGAGATGTCACCCTTCAACTGATCCAGCTAAGATCCTTGAAAAACAATAAGACAGAGTAGTACATGAGAAATCTTGCCCAAACTATTACATACAATACTGAATTAATGAACACTGACGGCCAAATACCAGGTGTAATTGATGTTTCAAAATTACCAAAGTTCTAATCCACCTACATCAAAATTACTCATGCAAGCAGTAATTATACATGGTGTTTGAAGTGTTGCCGGCAAGACAGACCTCACTATTTGGAAGACCAGATGTTATTCCACAAGCTCTAACAACTGATTCAGTTCTCCGCGAAAGAGTACTTAAACCAAAGAAAATATCAAATCTTTCAGTTGCTCAATAAGGAAAAAGCCTAATGTTAAACTTCAGATCACATGCCCTTTATATTAAACACGAATCTGATCAAATTATATTTCTCTGTATAAAATGCACTGAAATGGCATACTGAATTTAGTAGTATCAAATTAGAAATAGGTTCCACAACTTGCACAAGAGACTGGTCACTTTCAATGCATTCGTAACAAAGGAATTTGGATTGCCCATTTGACCAGTTGATAAAAAAAACCAACGTAAAGCAGGAATTACTGAACACCGACAGCCAAATCCTATATGACTATATCAAATATTGCATAAAAAACAGAAATACAGAAAAGGCAAAGAGGCAAACAATGACAATGTACTGAGCTCTGAGCAATACGCAAAATTTGCTGGTTTTTCATGTTGCTAGGGTCAATGTAACCATAGGATAAACTCAAGATTCAAGCAGTAGTACTAGTCAACATGCTACGTTCAAGTTATATACGATCACACACACCAACTGCTACTACTCAGTCCACCAGAACCCTTGCTTGCCATGCTGCCAACCTCGCCATCCTTGTCCACCATTGCAACTGCAGCCATGCACGCTTGCTCCTTCTCTTTTTTCTCTGCAAGACTGGCTTTGCCCCAATGCGCACTGGTGTAGAGGTGCAGAATCATGCTGTCTTTGTCGTATCCATGTCCGCCACACACCTCGCACGATAGACTGCCATTCTCCTGCCGCGTCACGGTGAACACCTTGCCCTCCACCTGGATCTTGATTGGCTTGCCAGGGGCAAGTGCTAAGTGCTCTCCTTCAGCTTCCTCGGTAATCTCGCAATCCTTAGCAGGTTCAACAATGCAAGTAGCAAGTTGGGCTTCTGCTGGTCGATCTACTGCATTGGATGCCAATGCCATTGCAACAGTGTTTTCCGTTTGTGGAGTTGCCAACGACGGGGCTGATTCTTCTTCTTCGTCGGCAGTAGTATTTGCCTGTGGCACCGCCGACGGCACCAATCCTGCCTCCACATTGGCTTTCGTGGACTTTGAGATGTTGGCTTGCACCTCATCAGCCCCAGTGGCAAGGACATCGTTGTTTCCTCGTGCAGCGAGTGCCATCTTGCGCTTGTGCTTTTTGCCAGCCAGGTGAGACTGCATGATGGTCTCTGACGGTAACTTTACGTTGCAGCTCAGGCGAGGAAGCCATCCACCCGGGAGAGAGGGTGCATCACGCTGTCTACTTCCATGGTCAGCGAGTCCGAATCAGAGACATTATTGAGCTGAGCTCCAGCAGAAGTTGCATTGCTTTTCATCATTTCCGTTCCAGCAGACTTAGCACTGTCCCCAGTGGCGACGTCTTCCTTTGGTGGTGCCACAGTCGTTTCTTGCAACTCACTATCATCACCAAGCTTTGGATGCAAGGACTTCTCCAATGGGGCTTCCACCTTTGCTGACATTTCCGAGATGACAACCGTGTCTATGTCTATCAGCTGCGCTTTGGCTGCTTCCTTTCCACCTGTGGACACGTTGACAGAGGCACCAGAGCTGGCGTTCGCCTTATTCTTGTGCTTCTTCCCTGACAAGTGTTGACGCATGCCATGCATCGATGGATTCTTCACATCACACAGCTCGCAGAGCAGAAATCCTTCCAAGCGCCGCACAGTGTGTGGCAGCGGCACACCGAAATCCTCCAGAGCCAGCTTTTTAGGATCAGCACTGCCAATAGCTGAAGTGGCAGCACTAACTGTACCCTCCACCTCACTCGATGGCTTGCTGGAGGGTTGACGCTTCTTCTGGCCATTAGAGATGTGTTTGCTCCCCTGTAGGTGGCACATCATGGTAACACGGTCTGCCGTCGGCACATTGCACAACTCACAGAGGAGGTACCCGTCCATCTGTGTCACTTCGTTCAGCTCTTCTGTGGCCATCGCCATCATGAACCTCGTCGGTTTGTAATCTCCCAATGTCTCCATTGCCATTGCCTCTTCCTCCCCTGCCTCGAGCCCTCTCTCCTGCTCTGTCTCTGGCACTAGCTTTGGCAGCTCCGGAAGTGCTATCACCTTCCTCTTGTGAGCCTTCCCATTGAGGTGGTCTTGCATGGCCTTCTCGCTGTTTGCGGTGATGCAACACACCATGCAGGTTAATGTGCTCTTCTGCTTCTTGTTGCTTGGAACCAACAATGCTCCGGTGGCACGATCAGAGCTCTTCCGCTTGGTCGGCGCGGTTGCTAGTGCGTTTGATTTTGGGTGGGCCTGCACAACCAACATGAGAGTTTCTTCTAGATGAGCAAACAAAATAGCTGCAACTTCAAATAATAATGATAGAAATATCATGATTGTATGTTAAGATCAAACATGAAAACTGAACTCTTAAAAAATGTTCAAAACACCGGTACATCATTTGATTTGGCTACTTTTTTTACTATAATGAACTGACTTAGCTTTTTCGGGCAAAGACAACAAAATTGCATGAATATTGTGAGATCGAGCAACTAGTCATGTTTTTTCTATACTCCTAGAAGATCTGTAAAAGTTAACATAACATACATGTCATGGGCATCCTTATAACATATATAGCTATTCCTGTTTAGTTTATTTTTTAAAAAAATGATATTGCAGATGACAATTTTGTTAGACGTTTCAAGGTTTTGAAATTTTACATCCATCACCGTCAAAACTGCAAAAATCTACAGCATGTATTGCAAAGCCTGCAATCTGACAACAAAGTTTTGAATTGGTTATCCAAAATTTATGTTCAAACCAAGGTGGCAGATTACAAATATTATATTAGGGAAGAAAAAAGCACAATTTAAATATCATAAAGAATTCCTTCACGTTGACTCCTTTCCAGCGCAAGGTGTTTGATTAGAAAGAAATTCTTAAGTATCAACAATGAGGGCACAAAATTCGTATATGGTACTCTATTTTCTTCAGTTTCTGATCATTGCTTATATAATAAAAAAGATGAAAATTAATAACAGTATAGTTCAACAGCGCACCCTCACACTCAAAACTGTGCTTATGAGCAAAATGATTCTCAGCTACTTGTTCAGCATTGATCATTTTACCCATACCAAAATGTGGAGAATGAACTGGAATCAATAATGCATAATGATTTTCACCTACACGAATTTTCTTTTATGTAGATTACATGAATTATTTGCATCTTATCTTACATTTATGCTAATGCAGTTTGCCCACAACGCATGCACATTTATCTGAACTTTTGAAGATGGACAAGTAAAAAAAAATCCCAAGTAGGTTTTGTCTATCCATGGCTCCATGACATACTCTAGCAATCAGAAACAAAAATTATGGCATACAGGCAAGCGGGTTATAAGCCTCACTAACCAATAAACCACACTAAATAGATCTATCCATGGCTCCATGGCATACTCTAGCAAAACAGAAAGAAACATTATGGCATACTATTGCAAGCGGTTATAAGCATCACTAACCAATAAACCACACCAAATAGAACAACAAAATTCTGCAAAACTTAACAAGAAAGGCATACTTTTGACAAACAACTAACCATGATTATTATTTATGGTAACTATTTACACTCGACACTTCTATAGAATAATTCACCATTCAAAAGTTACTTTAAGAAACAGCAAATTTCATATGTTATATAGAAGCTTCACTTATGGTTTATATATATGCTTTAAACATCCAAATGGCATAGTCTAAGTGAATTTTAATATTTTAGGCATAAATACGTGCTGCAATTGGAAAACATGCATATTTTAAGCACTTCAAATCAAATCAATAAAAAGACTGAATGATGCATCGAGTTGAAAATCCCTCGGGGTGAAAAAATTATCTTAAATCAGTAACTACTGCCGAGATTTAGTCTGACATAGATTTCATTCGATTCCATGACGCGACATAGAAAACGTGAGGCAAGAGCTAGGGAGAAACGGAAAGCGTGATCAAACACAAAAGGCCAAAAGACAGCAGACCTCAAGCGCAACAACAGGAAGCGATGAGTTGGCAGTGGTAATAGTTCCGGTTGACAACGCCGCCGCCGTGTCGGATCCCCTCGCCGATCGCCCGAGCGCGGACCATGACCGATGCAGCATCTCCTCCCTTAACTCGCTGCGCACCTCCAGCTCTAGCTCCCAGTGCTCCGGATCCTCCCTGAGGATCCGCTCCCTGATCCTCGCCTTCTCCGCTTGCCGCCGCAGCTCGTCAGCATCGACTGCTACCGCGGCCGAATTCCCCACGCGCTCTACTGAACCATCGCCGCGATGGCTGTCTGGTGAAATCACACGGCATATGAATGCAAAAGCAGTAGGCAGGTGACACATGGAGATCGATCGATCATTCAATGGACCGAACGTGAGCGATCGGGATTCAGGGGTCTATAGGGGATCTCACCTGCCGATCCGGAGCCAGGAGTACTTGGCGCCGCAGGCGGCGGCGGGGATCGGCTTCGGCGCTCGTCGATGTCGCGGTACTGGAACTCCATATCGGTTTCGTGAGACAGAGAGGCTCGGAGGTTTTGGCCTTTTGGGTTTTGGATTTGGAGGGGCATATTATAAAAAAGAAGAGGGATCCTAGAACGTGGAAAGGGTGGGGTTTTGGTAAGCTGTCAGTTTTTTTCGGCGATGCCTCTCCAGGTTCCGTGGATTCACAGGGCCCGTTGCCGGTAAGTTGGCGCCGTCGATCGGCGTTCACTTTTTTTGCAATTAGTTTTGATTTCGTCAACATTTTCATGCATATCTGCAAGTTTGATGTGATGGGACCCTCCCAAAGTACCCAGTAACTAAACAAGGGCTAAATTTCGACGCGTGCGATTTCCTTTACCCCCCACGTACCCAGCACGCAAATCAAATCGTGGTATTGTAATGGATTGAATCCGTCTCATCAATATATTACCCGCACAAAATCTACAAATATATGAAACCCCAGATTGGCAGGTAAGGGCTGCGGAGGCCTACCATCAGCCGCACCGACTCGGCACGGGTCCTCCTCGCTCACGTAGGATCTGCCCAGTGCCCCGCCGCCGAGTGCCGCTCGACGGAGCCGCGTGCAAAGCCACAGCCGCACGCGTGCCCCAGCGAGGGGAACCCAGCGGCGCCACCGTCTTCCCCGCTCCGCGCCGCCGCCTCATGATCGCGCCCCCTTGGGTAGGAGAGAGAAAGCGATGGAGGAAATGGAGCTAGTGTTTGGGGCGGCTGCAGTTTGATTAAGCACAGCGCTAAAATGGCATATTATTAGGATAGATGCAGTATATTTTCATTCATACAAAACAAAGCTCTTGACAAAATTTACACGAATATAATCATTGTCGCCAAAGCATTATGGAACAAGACAAAAAAAATCTACCCGTTATTGGGCAACTAATGTGTCTTTGTTCAATTTTTTTTTAGGGTCAATGGAGGGGAGAGAGCCCAAAACCTTAAGGTTCTATTTTGATGTCGATTTTCGGAGGGAGGAATTGCATTGGGGTAGAATACCAAATCTGAGTTGCAAAGCAATGTTACTATTTAGATGTGTATATTTTTTTCATAAACGTGCCCTTGTAAAACGTGTTTCATTAAGTAGAAATAGAGTTACGGTTAGTTACATCAATCTTAGGACAGTAGACTGTTTTGTATTTGGTTGCTAGGAATCCCCCGATCGCTCCAAACGGGCGTCTCGCCGGTGCCGCCCGGGACCGCCCCTTACGCCACCTCTCCGGCCGCCGCCGTCACCCTCCGGCGTGCGGCGGTGGCGGCCCGCACAACCGGCAACCACCGCAGCTCCCTTCCTTCCTCCCCCCCCCATTACTCCACCACCCCTCCACGCTCCACGCTACTCCGGCGGTCGGGCGGCCTTGGAAGGGCGGATCTGCCTCCCCCGGTCACGGATCTGGCCTCACACGGTGGTTGGCGGCCTCCCCCCTCCTTTCGGCGCGGCTCCTCCCAGTCCGGCGGCCGCTGTGCCCGCGGGGGCGCACATGGGACTGCTTCTGGGAGCCTCAGCTGCTTCCTCTTGCGAGTGGGCTAGCCGGCGGGGATGGATCCGCCCTTCCTGGGTCCAGATCTGCCCCCCCCCACGGCTGGTAGCGACCTCCTCCCCTTGCTGCGGCGTGGCTGCCCCCGGGCTTCGTGGCGCATGGGGGTGGCCGCCGGGATGCCGAGCCGCACCCGCTGGCTGCCGTGCGGCTGGCTAGGGTAGGCCTACGGCCATCCGCCCCCTCCCCCAACACCTAGCTTCTCTGGTGAACCGACCGGGCGGCGGGGCGGATCCGGGCCTCCTGTGGCCGGATCTGCCCTCCTCCGCCCCAGATCTACTGCTTTGCGGAAGGTGACGCGGTGCTTCTCCCCCTCGTGGGGGCGATGCCTCTGGATGCATGGTGCTCTAGGCGAAAGCTCAGTCTGGTGGTGGCCGGATGGACGACGGTGACGCCTTTAGCTCCACATACCTCCCTGGAGGCGTCGTTCTCTGAGCCCCATGCTCCTATGCCACCAGCGCCGGATTCTAGGCGAAAGCCCTGCCTTAGAGGCCTCTAAGGCCAGCGGCGACGGCGTTTAGGTCACTGCCATGGGCGTCCTCCCCTTCCTGAAGGCGTCGCTGAAGAATCGGCCTAGTTCCTGCCGTCGGTTCCTTGAGGAGTCCCTCACTGTGCCTATTGTGCTTCATTTCCACTCGCATTGGTCTGTCCTGCAGCTGTTGACCTCACTCGGTTTGTTGTCGTGGATACCGTAGCGATGCTTTGCCGCTATTGCTTATCCCCTGACGGATGCTTAGCCGCTGGTTGGTTCGTTGGCGGATGCTTTGCCGCCGTGTGGTTTGTTGGCGGACGCTTTGTCGCCGTTGTCGTTGGCCTCCTCTTTGGCAGATGCTTTGTTACCGAGAGTGACCTGGCCCTTCCCCCGCTACGGATGCTTTGTTGTAGTGGGTGTCTTCGCTTCTTCCCCGGCGGATGCTTGGCCGCTGGTTGGTTCGTTGGCGAATGCTTTGCCGCCGTTTGGTTCGTTGGCGGATGCTTTGCCGCCGTTGCAGCTGGATGGTCTTCTGTGTATGCGACATTTGCGATGTTGTATCCTTTTCTTACAGGCTCAGTTCGTAGGTTTTAGGTGTCGTGGGCAGTCGCCATCTTTTGTATCCTTTTTTTTGTTCTTAGTTTCTACTCCAGGTCACTCACCACTAGCTTGGTGGTTTGTAATCTGTGCTATGAGGGTTCTCTCGTAGCTGCGTCGTGTAATTTCTCTCTGCTTAATGAAAAACGGGCTATATTACCCGATCACGAAAAAAAAGGTAATCTAATTTTGATGTGTACATATAAGGCAGTCCCTCAATTCAGCACATGGAAACAAAACCCACATTAAACTTTTGAAATTGACGAAGTCACCCCCGTTACCTGGATGGTGCGGTACCAAGGCCACGGATGATGCAAGCTAGTTAGCGTGTGCACTCATGTGAACTTATATGTGAATGCGATGCACGAACGGCTGGTGAATTGGGCAGGGCGCACGCACAAGTCGTGTGGCTTTCGATCGAAGTTTCGATGTTGAAAGGCGGCACTGCACTGCAACCAGCCAGTCACAAATCACACAGCGCGCCGCCGCGTCGGCCATCCGATTTCTTATTCTGAGTGAGGATTTACATCAGTGTTTAATTTGACACGAAAAAGAGGCCATCGTCGTCAAGAACTAATTAACCCATTTGCTACGGTGAATTTTATAAATAATTAATAGCCCGTCGATCCTGCCGTCAGATCGTCGATGCACGCGCGCGTGTACTACATTTTGTGGCGTCGTCGTCCCATTGGACAGTAGTACAAGAATAGCCACGGTAGCCCGTGGGCTGTCTGTTGGGCTAGCTAGCTGTTGCATGCACACAGACACAGCCAGCGGCGCGCGCCTGGACCAAAACGATGAAACGCGCGCGCGCGCGGGCGCGGCTGGATGAGACGATCGATCACACCGGCGCCAGCCCGTGCTTGAGCGCGGCGTTCCAGACGACGTCGATCCGGTCGACGTCGATGGCGCCCACCTCGTGGTGGTCCCAGCCTTCGAGGAAGTGCACGACGCCGCCGGCGTGGCACGCGTGCACCACCCCGCGCTCCATCGTGTACTCGCAGGAGCCCAGGCCCTGCACGTCCTTGGGCAGACTCATGGCGGCCAGCTTGCCGTAGGTGCAGTCCCACCGGAAGCCGATGATGGGCGGCACCACGAACTGGTGGAAGTGCGTCCCCGACGGCGCCCACCGCTGCTCACGCGGCGACAGCCACTTGCCAACGATCCACGTCTGCACCGTCGTTACCATTATATTGCCGTTCATCGTTAGCGTGTCAGCTCAGCAACCAGTAGCTAATACTACAAGTGCAGTAACAAACTAACAATGCAACGCAAAGGTTCATCATGAATAATCTCAGATGACACACTGTACTGTACCTTGCAGTTCTGTGCGGCCTGGTACTTGGTCACCTGCACGAGGTACTGCTGGTACTCCGGCGGCGCCTCCCTCTGGATCTTCACGAACCTCTCCGACGACATCGTGAACATCTGAGATCGAGAGCATACATACACATGCGTACGCAAGAGGTCGTTACCAATGCAAAACACAGCTGATATATGGATGCTGATCAGAGTAGAACGTTAGCCAGATTTAGAACGTAGTATTATATGTTACCAGGACTTTTCTGATAATTTTTCTTCCTGCAGATAATTATATTAGAGCGAAAATATTAATGCCGATATATGACAAGAATTTTATATAACTTCCTCACGTTATAAATCTCGTAAAGGATCACGGCGCCGCTACTATTTTTTGTTGTTGTGCACCACCCTTGGGGGGCGCAGGTCCGGGTGCTTGTTCACGAAGTGGGATGCCGTACTATATGTTCAGGACTCTGATCTTCTGATATGCAGATATAGATGGACGACAGACCTACGAGCTTGGAGGTGAGATGCCTCATGATGAAAAACCTCCTTCACGTTGCTGGGATCAAGATTCAGGAACATGGATATTAACTCGCGTAGATTATTTTGTACACCACCCTCACGCGCAGGTTCGGGTGCTTGTTCACGAACAGGATGCCGCCTCCGTTCAGCGCCTCGTTCTGATATGCGATATAGATGGACAGACAGACACAGTACAAAATGAGATGCCTCAAGATGAAAAACCTGTTCCAAGCTGTGATCCAAGATTCAAACATGGATATTAACTCGCGGTAGATTATTTTGTACTACTACTCCGCACTGTATATACGTGGCCCATGCTTCTCAGCTTCTAGGCTGGAAATTAACTTGCGGTAAAATTACCGCGTTAAAAGTGCGGCACGCGCTACTGCAGCTGAGTAGTACAATTTGGATTCCGAATTTGTTGAGATTTTGTCGTCCCTGCTGAAAACTGTACACTACTGCTAGTAGGCCGTGCTGTATATGCCTGGCAGCCCAGCCAGAGGCCCAGGGCGAGCACTGCGCAGCACAGAAGACAAGTGGCAGCGGCAGGAGTCAGACAGGAGCCCGGGCGGCCCGGCATGTCCAGTACCATCTACAGTTGTGTACAGTCCACGACACCACTCTGATTGGCGCGCAGGGATCTACGGCTCGGCGCACACGCGGCACGCCTTCACTGATTGGAGCAGGGCAAGGCAGGACCGCAATGCTGACACCGGACACGATTGGATTCCCATGCCGCCATGGACGAGAACGACCCGTCACGGACTTGAGGCACGTGTACGTCATGAATCACGGCCGCACCTGCTGCCACGCGCGCTTCCCGCGATCTGGCCGGCCGGCCGGCCCGCTGGCGTCCGCGGCGGTGCGCGACAAGGACGGCGGGCCAGCGGCAGGCAGTCGCCGCCTCGCCGATCGCCATCAATCAGCGACGTCGCTACCCGTTCCAGCCCCCGCGCCAGCCTGGGCTCGCCGCCTGAGGAGGAAGAAGAAGGCAAGGAGGGGCTGGAGGAAGTGGAGGAAGAAGAAGAGGAAGCCAGCCCTGGCTTCGTCGATTCCTGGCTTCGTCGCTGCCATCAATGGTGGCTGTTGCCGCGCGCCCCTGGACACCCTCTCCTCCACACACGCACACACCCGTCCCATACGGCCATGCGTTTCGTCGCGTCCTGGCGTGGCGTGGCCGTCTCTCCGGACGCCGGCCCTTCAATTCATTGCGCCCACATGCATGCATCCCCGTCGAGTAGTTGGAGGATGGATGCCAACACCACTGATCTCTCGCACTCGCAGCCAGTACTGTATAAGTACTGTACTGTACTGCTGCTTGTCCATACGGGCCCAACGAGTTGGACCGCAACACGTGATGGGCAACGGAGTGAGTCCCGGGTCATCGCGCGCGTCGCACGATCAATCAAAGCGCGACGAAAAAACGAAGCAGGCAGATGGGACACAGCTACGCTAGCTCATACGTACTCCTGTACTGTAGGATTATGCATGGGTATGGGTTGGAGTTGGGTGTGCAACCTGTAATAAACGAGAGCTAGTATTTTTTTCTTCCAATAAATTAGTTTTAACCGACTTATCGAGCCGCATAGAACCACTGATAAATCGAATTAAACTGATTTATTGTGAAAGAAAAAATATTGTACCTAAGTTCGAGGGAACAGGGCGTGAGCTGACCTTGTTGAGCGCGGCGAGGCTGAGCACCTTGACGCCCATCCTGTCGGCCCGCAGGATGGCCAGCTCGATCTGCTTGTTGATGCCCTTCTTCGCCGCCGGCAGGAAGTACTGCACATCACATCACATCACATCGGCACCATTCAATTCCGGCGACATCCGAATGAAGCAGAGGAGGCCGGCGACGCCATTAATGAAACACCGTAGTACCTGGAAGCCGTAGCGGGGCACGGACCAGGTCTGGTGGAGCTGGCCACGGAGGCAGTAGAAGCTGACGACGAAGGTCTTGGAGCAGCACCACATGAGGAGCATGAAGAAGAAGGCCAGCGGCCAGAACGGGAGCAGGAAGAAGTGGTTGGCGAACGGCCTGGCGCTCAGCGACCGCAGCGTGAACGGCACGTGCATCGACGACATGATGTCCACCACGTGCGCCAGGAACACGAACCCCGGCGTGCCCAGCGCGCCGCCGCCCGGCGCGCCGTCGTAGGCAGCGCGCTGCAGCGACCACGCGCGCTCGTCCAGCGTCCCGCCCAGCCAGTCCAGCGCCGGCATGAACAGGCAGAAGTTGCCGCGCCGCTCACGGTGGTGCAGGCTCAGGTACCTGGTAGTAGTTACGTACAGTAATCGTCACCAACAGGTTGGTGGTCAGAGCAAAATCCATGGCGACACAGCTTTAGGAAAAGGATGGTGCCTGCCGCGAAATAAATGACACTTGCAATGCAACTATGCAAGCCTTCCCCCATTGATTCCGGTTCCTTGTCAAGCTTAGGTGTCCCCCACAGCTTCATTGATTTCGGCCAGTTTTGCAGCCTGTTCGTTTGGCTAGGCTTGTCCGTTGCTGATTCGTGAAGAAGTACTGCTGGCTGATTTGGTGTGAGAGAAAAATACTGTTCCGACTGAAAATTTACGATCGTTTACGACAAGCACAAACCAACCGAACATGACCTTGGTCCTCAGAATCCTAGCTACTAGCTGCGTGTGCGTACGACTAGGTGCTACAGTACACTATTAACACCCAATTGGACGTTTCTTTGTCTGCCAATCAACGTCTTTGGAGATAACAATATTTATAATAATTTTCTACAAATTTAATTAAATATTAAAAGTTAATTTAATCTATAGTTAAGATTATAATCTGTTTGGAAGGAGGTAGTCTCTCTATTAAGTTTTTCTTATGGTATAGTGTACTCTTTTTTTTTTTTGAGACGATGGTATAGTGTAGAGTACTCACGAAGGTGTGTAGAGGATGTATCTGAGCAGCGGGAACGCTTCGAAGACCCTGGGCGACACGACCTCGACGTTGCTGTAGCCCATGGCGCGGAGGTAGTCGAACGCGAGGGCGTGCACGTAGACCAGGCCTATGGACCCGGCCCCCACCAGGAAGGCCCCTGCCAGCGGGGCCCCCATCACCAGGGTCAGCAGCAGCACCTCCAGCGGCGTCCCGAACCCGGCTGCAAGCAACAAATGCAATGAAAATACGTACTCCCATTATTACTGTACCGATCATCATCATAAATACTGTGATGACGAGACGAAGGAAGCATTGTTTCAAAAAACGAGACGAAGGAAGCAGAAACAGTAATGAGATCCAATAATAATAATGGCGCAATGATCGCCGTCGCCGCCGCACCTGTCAACGGCTGAGTGACTCCCGAGGAGTGGTGCGCGGCGTGGTAGCGGCCGAAGAGCGGGGCCCCGTGGAGGGCCCGGTGGGCCAGGTAGAAGACCGGCTCTGAGAAGCCCACATGCAGCAGCAGGGCGACGGCCCACCCGCGGGCGTCCCACAGGCAGAGCTGCCGCAGGCCCGGGAGCAGTGGGCTGTTGACCACCGTGGCCCCAATCAGCGTTTGCAGCACCAGAAAGTTGTCCCTGCGGGGGCGGGGGCCACGGTCAGGAACAGTCACTGACACGTCACAAGACTCACAAGCCGCCTCCGGGCTCCGCGGAGTCCGGACAAATACATAAAGTTACCGAATTACAGTCACTGACACGTCACAAGACTCACTGTGCGAAGAATTACAGCAACCAATGATATGCAGACTACTACTGTGCTTTTGTTATTGACGTGCAGAACTTTGATTATAGAGCAAGAACTCCTACAGTAAATTCTTTTTTTTACCTAATTATGGTGACATCAAAATGGAGAGAGAAAGTACACTTATAGAAAAAAAAGAAAACAAAACTATATTTTAGGGCTTCAAACTCCTAGGATCGACGACTCCAAAAATCAAACTGAATACTGGGAGTATAGTAGTAGGAGTTGATGTACTAGAGTCGTAGAAGCTACTAGCTCAACTGCTACAGCCATCAATACAAAGTGTGCCCCATCCACACATTTTGGATGACTCAAGACTCCAACAAATTTATTCGTTTGGCTGATAAGGCACGACTAAAAGTACTGTTGAATGATTTATTATGAGAGAAAAATATTATTCATTGACTAAAAAAATACGGCTTATAAGCCAAACGAGCAGACGGAAAACTATTTGGTGCCGCAAGAGGGAAGGAAGATGCCCGTGCAGCTGCAGCCAGAGACTCACCGGCGGAGCCAGGGGGGCTGGCAGGGGCCATGCCCCCCATGTTTCACAACAACAAAAAATAGTAGCATGACTTAATATTTTTTATTTATATTAAGAGGAAGATTATATAAAATTCTTGTCATATATACCTATTAATATCCTGTAGATAATATAATTATACAAAACACAACTAGATAATAAAATTATCGTAATGAAAAAGACCGAACCGACCCCCCCTAAGTATAATTCCTGACGATCGGCCCCCCTGAGTATAAATTATGGCTCCGCCACTGCAGAGACTGAAGGAGGTAACGGGTGCAGTAGTCTATACACATAGTACACTCACCAGTCCCACTCGGCGTCGATCTGCCGGAAGTCGACGCCGTCGGCGACGACGCGGCGGCGGCGGGTGAAGAAGAGCATGTTGCCGTAGGTGAACCAGAACTGGTAGGTGAGCCCCCGCGCCACGAACAGCAGCAGCAGGTGCAGCCACCAGGAGCCCAGCGCCAGCGGCAGGGCCCCCTCCTCCCGCCATTCTTGCACCACCTTCCACACCAGAGGCCCCAGCACCGCGTACTGCATAAGCATATATGTGCACAAACATGCATGTCAACAAATAACTACTTGTAGAAATAAACAGGATTGGTTGCAAAGATGCATATATATATGCACAAAAGTGAAGGGAAGGAGACGAAGAAGGGAGAGTCGAGCGTTGTTGCCTTGTAGTTGCCGAGGCTTGCCCATGGCCAGGAAGAGAGGGGAGCAGCCATGGATTCTGGTTCTGGCCTCTTCAGAGACGAAAGAGGCCACACGGTGCACTGTCTAAAGTACTGGAGGGAAGCCAGCCGGGAGAGAGAAACAGACACGTACCCCTATGTGTAGTCGTGCTTGGCTGCTCTCTTCGTCTCTCCTCTGCCTCTGCGTGCTCCCGGCCGGACGCCACACTGCCTAGTACTTATAAGCAGAGGAGGGGAGGGTGGTGGCGGTGGTGGTGGCAGTGGGCAAAACAAAGACAACCAGGGTGGCCAGCTCGCAGTCGCATGCAGTTCACAACGCAAAAAAATCTTAAAGGCGGCGATGGACATCTATCCAGCACCGGAATTTCTCTGCCATTATTGGACCAGCAGCAGCAGCCGCCGCCGTCTTAACTTAACCATAGGTTAGCTGTTGTAATAGTAACCAGAGGGTGTTTGGTTCTTTAGTCGCTCCTCAAATTTATGTCACAACGAATATTTAGATATTAATAAAGAGCATTAGATATAGATTAATTATAAAACCAATTACATAGATAGAGACTAATTTACGAGACGATTTTTTAAAGCCTAATTAATCTGTCATTGGCACATGTTTACTGTAGAATCACGTTGTCGAATCATGGACTAATTAGGCTTAAAAAATTTGTCTCGCAAATTAGTCACAAGTTATGTAATTAGTTTCGTAATTAATCTATATTTAATACTTCATACATGTGTCTAAACATTCGACATAAATTTTAGGAGGACCTGTAGAAACCAAACACCCCCTAAGCTTAGGATTGAAGCTGTTAAAATTTAGATAGCTAAACCAGTTGCTAAACTTCAGCCACCCCTGTTTAGTTTGGTGGACTAAATGAGCCTTTTAGTCCCTTTTAATCAGGGTATTTAGATCTAAAGTGACTAAAATGTGAGGCAACCTTGGTCCCATTTAGCAACCTTTGATGACTAATTGGCTAAATGCCCTTTTAGTCCCATTTAGTCATAGTGTTTAAGATAAAAATGACTAAATTAGACTAAAATTAGCTCACTGAACTTATTATAGTGCTATTAGCAAGTAGCCAACATGGTTCATCATCACTCAGCCAGCAGGTTGTTTGTTAGCCGTTGAGGTGAGGTCATGGCGGCAACGCAAAAGAAGTCAAACGTTGTTGGGTGTAACTGACATACTACACACACGCATAGAAACCGGCTACCGATGGGTGCAGTGCAGTGCAGCCATGATGGCGCGGTTAGTTGGCGAGTTATCGGGCGGGCCGCCGACGGTGCCGTCCTTGTCCGGCGACGTACGCCCGCACGCGGTGGTTGCAGCTCGATCGACGACGACCGACCGGGGCTGGGCGGGCGGTCTGTCATCGGTCGTCGGGAACGCGGAGCTCCATGGAAGAACGAACCGGTGCAACACCGTAGGACTAAAGGTGGCTCGACATGCCGTTTCTGACCAAGACCGGTGGTGGTGGAAACCGCCGGGATCAGGATCAGCAGCAGGGCAGCAGCGTGTGCCGACTGCCGGCGCGGGGTGGTTGCGTGCGCGGTGCTGGCCGATTGGTTGGTTGCCGCAGCCGGGCGGGCAGTTGGCTGGGTGGCTGGATCGCGCGCGGTGCCCGTGCTGGGCGCGCCTGCCGACGGTGGTAGCCGCAGATGGCGTGCACTTGCGATGTCTGGCCCTGAATGAAGCGAAAAGGACGGTGGCGTGGCATCCGATTCCGATCGGAGCGGCGATCGATCGGCCGGCGTGTCGTCGTGCCCGTGTCTTCGTCTGCGGTGTACAGTGCTAGCTAGCTCCGGCGGGCGGACGGCATTACGTAACGTGTACGTACGCGCCTGTGTGTATGTATTATTGCGGTACGATGTTATGTCAGATCATGCATGCATATCACGGCCTCGCATGTGAGCCGCCCATGTCTTGTGGTGCTCACACCCGGCCCTCCCTCCGATCCCCACTCCCCGCGACCGCGCGATCGCGCGTCGCCGTGCCGTGCCGTGCCGGGACCGGGATGGGCCGCGCGCCCGCCCCGGTCGGTTATTAATGCGGGGGGCAGGCCTCCCCACCGGCCACCAGATCACGTACCGTTCCACCGGCCGGCCCGGGCGCGATTGGCTGTCCGCCTGTCTGTCCCAGTCCGCGGTCCGCGCGCGGCTGTGGACGCGACGCGAGCGCGGTCGTCATCCTGCGACTGCGACTGCGACCACCGCCGTGCGCCCGTGCATGGTGCGTGGCGCGTGCAGCTAGCTCTCCCGCTGCTGGAGCTTGAGGCCATGTTCGGCTGATTTATCAGCCACTTGTGTTTATTTGTACGGCTGATTTATTAAAATAGAAAAATACTATATCGTAGTTGATAAACCGGTTTATAATAACAGGCTGAACGGAGCCTGAGCTCTGGCCTTCTCATCGGCCCCGATGCGTAGTAGTACACACACCTTTGTACTTGGCAGGCCTTGCTTTTGGCTTAAGATATAAGACGACGAAAAGCGACTTTCAATTTGCAAATGAAAGCTAGTATTCATCCTTCCCTGCCACATGAGCTGTTCGTTCCATCATTCGTCACGGAACGTAGTTGGTTCGATCACGTACTGCGAAGCCACGTACGTTTGCCTCTTCCGTCCAATCACTACTGCACTAAATGCGTGTGTGCTTTGCGTGACTACGGTACGGCATGTGGTCCGCACGCTTGCACTCGATGGGTGTGTCTATATATATATATTACTATACTACTAGTCCCGTCCTTGCGTTACGTAGTTGACCGTACCGGCCGTTTCTTTGCGGTCCACGGTCCTTGCGCGCTAGCTCGTACCGTGGTACGTGTGGCTGTGTTTGCAGTGCAGTTACAAGCCCTCCTCGCTTTGGTAGGAATTACGGCGGCCTGGCCTCTGGGTGACTTACCGTACGTGGTTCCAAGTAAGTAACGCGAGGATGTCAGCGGACCAGTCTCGCCCCGCGTCTTCAGCACCTTCAACCAACTGCGCACGTCGCGCGCTCGCCACGCTCACCGATCCGCAGAGCGCTGACGCCGCATGCGCGCCCGGTCTCCACGGCGCCCACGCTCCCACTTAGGCCGCTCGCCCACTCGCGCATGCGCATGCCTGGCCAATGGCCATCTGTTGTACTCTATATATGTACACTTACTTGATCAATATAACTCGTCCAGTTGATCAATTCTCTTCTACATGGTATCAGCCGCTTCTTCGATTCTGGAAAACCCCTTTGCCTCTTCTTCCGCTCCCATGGCGCCCTCCTCTGTTCATTCCGAATCCTCCGACGATGGCTTCGACGCCGAGCCCGTCTCTGCCTCGCAAATCCAGACCCTCTCCATTCGCCACCACGTCCCTGTCATCATTGACCTGGACGAAGGCAACTTTGGCCAGTGGCGCCACTTCTTCGATTCTACACTCGGCAAGTTCGGCATCAAGGGCCATGTCCGCTCGACGACTCCCGACGACGAGCGCGATGACGAGTGGCGCATGGTGGACTCGTGCGTCGTCAACTGGATACTCGCCACCGTGTCCAAAGGCGTCTTCGACATCGTCCGTCATGATCGCCACGACGCCTACACCCTGTGGCATGCCGTGGAGGGTCTCTTCCAAGACAATGAAATGTAGCGCGCGGTTTATCTGGAAGTCGAGCTGCGTTCCATGGTGCAAGGTGACATGTCCATCAACGATTACTGCACCAAGCTCAAGCGGATCGTCGACCAACTGCGTGACATCGGCCACCCCGTCTCCGAGCCGAGCCAAGTGCTCAATCTTCTCCGGGGTCTCAACCCCAAATTCCGCTACGTCAAGCCGGTGATCACCTCCAAGTCCCCGCCGCACACCTTCCAGAGCGCCCGCTCCTTCCTCATCCTGGAAGAACTCAGCTTCTAGCATGACGCCACCGTTGAGGCGGGTCAGGCTCTGACCGCGTCTCATGGTGCCACCAACGGCGGTTCCTCATCGTCGTCCTCTGGCCCCAAGGATGTCTCCTCCCGCTCTCCTGCTCCGCGCCCCAACAACAACCGCGCCGGGAACAACAACAGCGGCGGCAATCGTTCCAATAACCACTACGATCGCCGTCGCGGCAATGGTGGCGGTCAGAACAATGCCAGCGGCGGCTCCCGTTCCAACGCCAACTCCACCAACAACTCCTTCACGCCATGGGCCGTGGGCTACAACCCATGGCAAGGCATGGTCCAGGCATGGCCAATGCCTTTTCGTGCTCCCGAAGCCGGCGTCCTGGGCCCTCGGCCTCCGTTCCAGCCACAGCAGGCTATGACGGCCGCGTCCAACTCTACCAACGTCTTCGACACTAGTGCGCTCTACGCGGCGCTGCAGGCATCCAGTGGACAGCAGCAGCCGCCCAGTGCCTCCGAGTGGTACTTCGACACTGGTGCGACGTCCCATATGTCGTCATCCCCTGGTAATTTCCCTCCTGGCTCTCTTCATTCATCCTCTTCTATCATCACAGTTGGAAATGGGGCTCGTATGCCGGCAACACACCGTGCGCACACCATCATTCCCACTGCCACCACTCCACTTCGTCTTGATGATATTCTCGTTTCACCTTCTCTTATTAAGAATTTGGTTTCTGTTCAGCGACTTAACTCGTGATAATGATGTCTCTATCGAATTTGACCCTTCTGGCTTTTCCATAAAGGATCTTCATACCAGGGCAGAGATGCTCCGATGTGATAGCAATGGTGATCTCTACCCGATTCGTCTTCCTCATCATCAAGCACTCCATGCTTCATCAGCAGCGTCCCTGTGGCATCAGCGACTTGGACATCCCGGGCTCCCAGTCACCACTCAAGTTCTCCAAAAATTTTCTTTCCGCTGTAATAAAAGTGATGAGCATTCATGTTCTTCTTGTCGATTGGGTAAACACTCTCGCCTACCGTTTCATGATTCTACATCACAAACCTATTTTCCTTTTCAGTTAGTTCATTCCGATGTATGGACATCACCTGTGTTCAGTAACTCAGGGTATAAGTATTATGTTGTTTTACTTGATGACTACACTCATTATCTCTGGACAATCCCACTACGCAATAAATCTGATGTTCTTCCCACTATTCGCTCGTTCATTGCTTATGTTCATACACAATTTCGTCTACCGATTCTCGCTTTTCAGACTGACAATGGCCGTGAGTATGACAACAACGCCATGCGTCTTCTCCTCTCATCCCTGGGCACTCAGCTCCGTCTCTCGTGTCCCTACACGTCTCAGCAAAATGGGAAAGCCGAGCGTGTTCTTCGCACACTTAAAGAATTGTCTGTGCACATTGCTCATTCATAGTGCAGCTCCTCTGGCGTTCTGGGCTGACGCACTCTTCACGGCGACGTATTTGATCAACCGGCGTCCGTGCCGCACCACAGGCACGACGACACCGTTCTAGCTCCTCTTCGGCACGCCACCAAGCTACACCGACCTCCGCGTCTTCGGCTGACGGTGCTTCCCCAACTTGATCACCACGGCAAGCCATAAACTCGTCGCGCAGTCCACCGAGTGTATCTTCATCGGCTATCCGGCAGACCACCGCGGCTACCGCTGCTACAATCCATCAATGGGTCGTGTCATTACCTCGCGCCACATCCTGTTTGATGAAGCAGTGTTCCCCTTCCATGCTGTGCCATCACCCGCTGCACCGATCACCGCCAATGGAGACACCGATCCACTGCCACAAGCACCCGGGGCTCGGCGCGACGCGCGTCGACGCTCAGCATCACCACCGTCCTTGCCACACCTGGTGCCTCCTCCACCTCGCCATCCAACTCCACATCGTGAGATCATCGACACCACACCTCCATCGACTCCGTCCACCACTAATCCCATCATGTCGGGTACCTCATCGCCTACTACATCCAGCACCATGTCACGGGACTCCTCGCCGTCCGCTCCAGCACCCGCCTCAATGTCCGCACAACATGGTGCTGCTCCTTCTATGCAACCACCACTGCACCCCATGGTCACCCGTGCGCGTGTTGGGATTCACAAACCGAACCCCAAGTACGCCATGGCGGCCACTGAGGCGATCTCCCCGCTGCCACAGAGTGTCCGCTCCGCCGTCAAGGATCCCCACTGGTACGCCGCTATGCAAAAGGAATTTGACGCTTTGCAGGCGAACAAGACGTGGACGCTCGTGCCACGACCACCTGGTGCGCGCATCATCATCGGTAAATGGGTCTTCAAGCACAAACTGAATCCCGACGGCACTCTCGAGCGCTACAAAGCGCGATGGGTCGTGCGTAGGTTCAATCAGCGCCCAAGGATTGATTTTGGCGAGACATTCTCACTGGTGGTGAAGCCGATGACTATCCGCACAGTACTGACGCTCATGGCGACCAACAACTGGCCGGCGCACCAGCTTGATGTCTCCAATGCATTTCTTCACGGCAACTTGCAGGAATAGGTGTGCAGTCAGCAACCTACCGGCTTCGTCGATCCTCAACGACCGAACAACGTTTGCCTCCTGTCACGGTCCCTCTACGACCTGCGTCAAGCACCATGGGCGTGGTTTGATCGCTTTGTCGGCCATGTTACGAGTCTCGGCTTCGTTCAGTCCAAGGCGGACACATCCCTGTTTGTCTACCACCGCAACGGTGCCACGGCGTACCTGCTGATGTATGTCGATGACATGATTCTATCGGCGTCCACTACTGCGCTACTTCGGTCCATCGTTGCCCGACTCCATGATGCCTTTGCCGTGAAGGACATGGGACCAGTTGGCACTTCCTCGACATCAACGTGCGGCGAACTCCTGTCGGCTTCTTTCTCTCACAGTCATCTTACGCCGCCGAGCTGCTCGAACGTGCAGGCATGGCCAACTGCAAACCAGTCACCACCTATCGCAGCATCGCCGGCGCCCTCCAGTACCTGATGATCACCCGCCCCGACATCGCCTACGCCGTGCAACAGGTCTGCCTCCACATGCACGCGCCCAGAGATGTTCACCAGACGATGCTGAAACGCATCCTCCGGTATATCAAAGGCACGACGACGCTCGGCGTTCAACTGCGATCTGCACCGACACCGACGCTCACGGCCTACTCCGACGCCGACTGGGCAGGTTGCCCAGACACGTGGCGCTCCACGTCGGGGTTCTGCATCTTCTTCGGTGACTCGCTCGTCTCATGGTCGTCCAAACGACAGAACATGGTGTCGCGCTCGAGCGCTGAAGCGGAGTACCGCGCCATCGCCAATGCAGTTTCAGAGTGCTCCTGGCTTCATCATCTGCTCGAAGAGCTCCTCTGCGAAGTTCCCTCGGCAACGGTGGCCTACTGCGACAACATCTCGTCCGTGTACATGGCACGGAACCCAGTTCATCACCGACATCCGGGAGAAGGTCGCCATTGGGGAACTCCGCGTCACTCACGTTCCCAGCGCGCGCCAAGTTGCAGATGTCTTCACCAAGGGTCTCCCATCGGCGCTGTTCTTCAACTTCCGGGACAGCCTCTCCGTGGTTGCAGCACCCAACGTTGAGACTGCGGAGGGGTGTCAGCGGACCAGTCTCGCCCCGCGTCTTCAGCACCTTCAACCAACTGCGCACGTCGCGCACTCACCGCGCTCGTCGATCCGCAGAGCGCGCCCTGACGCCGCATGCGCGCCCGGTCTCCACGGCGCCCACGCTCCCGCTTAGGCCGCTCGCCCACTCGCGCATGTGCATGCCTGGCCAATGGCCATCTGTTGTACTTTATATATGTACACTTACTTGATCAATATAACTCGTCCAGTTGATCAATTCTCTTCTACAGAGGAATTAACTCATTCGATCGACAATCATCCGGTTCGCTCGGCTTATAAGCCATATTTTTTCAGCCAACGAATAATATTTTTTTCACAACAAATCAGCCAACAGTACTTTCAGCCACAGCTAAGCGAACAGGGCTAATATATGTATCCGTTCCATCCGTCCCTCGGTCGAACATGTCTCCGCTCAGGGCCGTCTGATACTCTGATGCTCTGTAGCTTGTGTACGTTATTAGCAGCGGAGAAGGAGGGGGGAAGGGTCCGTTGAGAATCGGTCTATGTACGGATTGTTAGATCTTTTTTTCGGTCTCTGATTCCAAAAAAAATGTGTGTAGAGGTTGCAGATATAGATCTCGTCTTCCTTGCCCAATCCTCAAGAACAACAAATAAGAACACACAAAAGACAAGTAGGTGAGGGGAGCTATCTCTTCATTATTCCTTATAGATGTATATGTAGCCTCTTTATATATACCTACTAATAAAGAGACAAATTTTCTAGCCATTTTTTTGGTCTATCTTTTTTTCTTGTTCGTCTCCCTCCAACTACCGGACAATGGAGAGTTTCTTCCATTCTAATAACTTATATATATAACCCGTGCTTATACGAGTTGGAATAGCTCGTGTCTAAACCGATATGGAGTTGGATTCTAAGATTATTGGGTCACAAAATGGTCACGGAACTAACAAGGAAAAGAGAAATAAAAAAAGTGAATTAGGAAAGGACCGAGAAGAATAAATGGTTCAAATAACCATAATACAATATTTATTATTTATTTATTCTATTTGCAAAAAGGTCACGGAACTAACAAGGAAAAGAGAAATAAAAAAAGTGAATTAGGAAAGGACCGAGAAGAATAAATGGTTCAAATAACCATAATACAATATTTATTATTTATTTATTCTATTTGTAAGAAGAAACAGGAGGAAAAAAAGAAGAAACACAAAAGTTACAGAACTAACAGGAAAAAAGGGAAATAGGAATAGAAAATAGAAAAACAAAAAAACGGATTGGGAAAGGGCACGGACGGGCACAACGCGTTTCACATAAGAAACGGAAGTTTCCATCTGACCGGAATACGAAAAAATTGCAGCGGAAGATTCCGAAGTGCATGGTTGGACGAAAAAAAATTGGTGGTAGAAATTTTGCCTCGCGTCGCGTTGGGGCTCGACTATGGAGTGTCTCCCACGCCAGTTCCCGCCGGGAAGATGAGGTCGCCGACTTCGCCACCTCCCTGTTGCAGCCGCCGGTGATGGAGGACGGTGCCGGTGCCAAAGACAGTGGCGCCACGGAACATGACGCTGCGGCGGCGGCAGCTTTGAGGATTAACTGGGCATCATGTTACGTGCCCTTGCACGACCACGACGCGCACTTCAGGATCACCAAGCGCGGCGTCCTCGGTGTGGCGGACGGCGTCGACACATACGCAGAGTACGGCGTGGACACTGGCACCTTCTGCCACGGTCTCATGACAAGCGCCTCTACGGAGGTTGTTGGGCTGGAGCCCAGCACGCGTGTCTACCCTTGCGCGCTGCTGGAGTGGGCCAATGACGAGACGACCGCGTCCGATGTGCGGAGACATCGACGGTCGTGATCCTGTCGCTCGCCAGCAACGCTTTGGAGTGGGCATACATCTGGTGAGTCCGTGTTGACCGCAGAGGCACCGCTCGGCCGGTCGTTGGCCGCCTGTGGCTGGTGCTCCTTCCGGTTCCGGCTTCCCACGTGCCGGGTGGCCACGCTGGTCGCGGAGCTAGTGCTGCACCTGCCTACGACAGAAGTCATGGAGTGGCCGCGAAGGTAGCCACGGACTACCCCTGCCATGGTCTTCTCCTCTCTGTTAGGATGATCTTCACCAGTTGGCCCAACGGTCAATTTGGCCCTTGATCCGTGTCCTGATCGGGGGTGCTCAGCCGGTTCTCCTAGCTGATGGGCCTCGTCGCGCAGCGTCATAAAAGGGACAGTGGGGGCTGGGCACAAGTAACGAGGTTCGCCACAGCCGCCAGCGCCCCACCGATGTCCTAACCCTAGACCGATCGTGAGGGTGCGCTGTGAGCGACAGGAAGCGTCATTGCCTTCACCGCCGTCACCAGACCGGCCCGCACTGCTGCTACTTCGTCGCCGGTGCCATGACCATGACTAAAGACTCGAGATGAGGTATATCATCATCAAGTTCTATATCCACCTAGTGATCCTAGAATCCTATCAATGGTATCGGAGCCAAGTTAGGCGTAGATCTAGCTCTTAGAATAGATCAAAACAAGAAAGAGAAGGAGGGGACTCGATCTGTTAATCGGATTGAACCCTAAACCCCTAACCCTAACTCTAGAACGAATGGATGGAAGGGGGAGAGATCTACCCGGTTTCTTTTCTCGACGCCGTCACCACCTGAAAGCTCTAGTTTGGTTTTGGTGAATTGATGAAACCCTAAGTGCTAACCTAGTTTATCAAAGTGATTATGAGATAGGTGGCACATTCCAAGTATTGAAACAAATGAAGATCATAACATGATGATGGTGATGCCATGATGATGATCACATGCTTGGACTTGGAATAGAAGAAAAAAAAAGCTCAAGGCAAAGATAAAATTGATAGAAGCTTTTTGGTTTTGTGATCGAGACATTTAGAGAGTGTGATCACATTTAGGATCGATAGCCATACTATTAAGAGGGGTGAAACTCGTATCGAAATACGGTTATCAAAGTGCCACTAGATGCTCTAACTCATTTGCATATGCATTTAGGATCTAGTGGAGTGCTAACACCCTTGAAAACATTTGTGAAAATATGCTAGCACATGCGCACAAGGTGATACACTTGGTTGTTAGCACATTTGAGCAAGGGTAAAGAAGATAGAGTTGAAAAGAAGTTAGTCGCGCTGGTCATAGAGTGACCGGACGCGTTCGGTATGGCGACCGGATGCGTCCGGTATCAATGACCGAACTCTGGCTCAGTGGAGCGACCAGACGCTGATGAGTTACTATTTAGTGTCCGACCAAGGTGATGTAGCCCGATACAGATTTGAAGAGAAGTGACAGGACGCGTCCGGTCGCCACACCGGACGCGTCCGATGTGAACTAGCAGTGTCGGTGTTCAGCGTAATTGTTGATCGGACACTGGGAGCGTCCGGTCCGGTGTGACCGGACGCGTCTGGTCGGCCCAGAGGGGCTCTAGGAGCTCTTTGGACTTTGACCGGATGCTGCATCTCCTCTGTCCCATCCGAAGTGACCGGACGCGTCTGGTCGGCCCAGAGCGGCTCTGGGAGCTCTATAGACTTGACCGGACGCTGCTCCTCCTGCGTTCGGTCGTCCACACCGAAAGTGTTTGGTCGTAGTTGAGTGTGGGACTCATGGCAGTAACGGCCACGTCGTTTTGAATGGGACATGTGGCGGTTAGGTAGCGACCGGACGTGTCCAGTCGCCATACCAGACGTGTCCGGTATACACGACTGGTGCATTCGGTGCACACGACCGGTGCATTCGGTGCAGCGCGCTGGGCCGAGCGCGGGCGCACGGGCGTGATTTCATTGCTGGGCCACGGACTGTTTCCGCAGGCCGAGCTAAATGAATAGTAAATGGTTTTATTATATTTAGAAGCACATTTTAATGAATTTTGATTAGTTTTTCATCTCTATTCAATTTTAAATCAGTTGGATAAATTGTTTAGAGAGTAGATGAGTACAGTGAAATGCTTCTAAAAAGTAGTTAAATTATTTTTTTATATTTCCGCTGTAAAGTTTAATATTTATTATCTTCTAATTAAATTCGAACCAACAGAATAATTTAATTTGAAGAGCAGTTATATTTATTTAGTAAATTATGATTATGTTTATCCTCTAATTAAATTGGAATCAACGGTAAAATTTAAATTAGAATAGTAGTCCGATTTATTTATGTTAAATAATGGTATTATTATTTTCTGACCAACGTTGATGATAACAATATTATAATGAGTTTAAGGTTGAAATTTAAATCTCTGATAAATTTTATACCAAGATGGTCAATTTTACAGAGAGTAGATAAAGACCAAAAAATGCTCCTAAACTAATAGAATGTATTTTATTATCAAGTTTCTGCTGCAATGATGTTGATTATCTTCTAATTAAATTCGAACAAACGAGAGAATTCAATTTTGAAGTGTAGTTATGTCGGTGCAGAATGTGACCAACTAGTAAATATTTGTAGTTTTGCCATACGTTGTGATCGGAAGTGGCCTAGCACTCAATGACACAGGATTTATACTGGTTCAGACAATGTGCCCTACATCCAGTTTGGGTTGGTCAGTGACTTTATTCCTGAGCCCAGGTGCTCGAAGTTTACAGTGAGGTTACAAACGAGAAGGAGAAAGATGGGGTGTACAAGAGGTCCGATCGGCTCCGGTCGGAAGGGCCAAGAGCGACAGAAGCTACGCTATGAGCTAAGTGTTCAAGCGTGTGCTTAGGGTACGAACCCAACGGTTCTGTGGTTGTGAGCTGATGAACTCGATCGATGTTGGTTCTCTCAAAAGGACTAAAGAAGCTTTGCTTCGTTGTAGGGAGCACATCCCCTTTTATAAATAAAAGGGATGGCTTTACAAGTGAGAGGGTGAGGGTACGTATGCTACTGGGCTCTGTCGTCTATGCCGACGGGTACAAGATAATGGTAGGCGCCTACAATATTGTTGGTCATCACTGTAGAGTGTCAGACGCATGTGGGAGGTTGTGTTACCTTCTTTAGAAATGGTAGACGTCGGTACCTGCAAAATTTGTTTAATGCCTAGAGGCATGTGAGGAGTGTCACCACGTTCGCCTGGTACGATAAATCCCGGCGACCACAACACTATCGATGCCCAGAGGCATGTGAGGGGCCTTACCGTATGGGAGTTAATGGCGCCCACAATACTGTAGAGATAAAAGCCGACGCCTACAATACTATTTGTCAGGGCGGTTGTAGAGTACTGTTCCTGTAGGCGTATAGGGTATGGTCCCTGGTATCGTGATTTGACTTACGCGCCCTAGCTTGCTTTCTCCGTTCGTCCCTGGCTCCTTCCGAGCGGGCGTCCCCGGTCGGATGGCCCTAGTCGACCTTGGTCGCGCCAGTCGGAGAAGAGCGGTGAGCAGGGTTTCTGCGCACCCCGGTCGAAGACGCGGGGTCGGAGTCAGAAGTAGCGCTTGGGTCAGGCCTTCCGACCGGAGAGGCCGTCCGGAGGCGGCTGGAGTCCGAAGCGAGCGCTCCGGTTGGAGAGGTGGGCCAAAGTAGTCGACGAGCGGGCGCCATTCCTCTTCAGTCAGACCTTCCGGTCGGTGACTAGACTGCTCTTCCGGCCTGTTGTTTTTAGACTCTTGGGCCGGCCCATGAGTTGTGTGCTGCCTGCGTGGGCCGAGCCTTGGCGTGGAAGTCGGTCCCCGAGGGACCCGGATTTATGAACCGACAAGTTATATGTCTTTCATGTTAATTTATGAGTTTTATACATTAATTCTATTTTCTATCCAACGGTGATGTAGAATTGATGCAGAAGCATCTTATAAGTTTTATTTTTTAACCGACGAGATCACTCGGCTGCATGCCAACGAGCTACAATGCTGGGGTATGTGAATGAAAAGGCTTGAGTCAAGCTAGTTCAGGACAGTTTTTTGTTAATTTACTAATTTTCTGGTTAAATTCGAACCAACGAAAAAATTTAATTGGAAAATGAAGTATAAGTGAATGTTTTAGTCACCATGACTAAATTTTTCATTACGGTATTTTGTATATAGATTATCCTGTATGGGGAGAAGTTTGGCATAGTACTTATGCTAGTCAATCCTGCATGGCGGGAGAAGTTTTGTGATGACTCATATGTTTTTGTATCCTGCATAGCGAGAGAAGTTTGGGTAGCTCTTATGCTATCCTAGTATTGACCATGGCACAATAGAAATGCACCGTCACGGTCAATACTAACCAAAACATAAGAAAAATATGCAAGTGTGACTTGCAAAAGTACAGTTAATAAAAGACCTCGTCGAGTTCTTGAAGTGGAATGAGAAAAGTGTACTCCTATACGGATCAAGTAATAACTTTATTTGCATGGCATAATCATGTGAATGAAGTAAGTCATAAGTGTCTCCTCGTTTATAGTTTTCTGAATAGTTCTCGAAATTATGGCAGTATAGTTCATGCCATATTTCGAGGGGGGGAATTGTGAGATGAATTAAGAGTAAGAATTAAGATCAATTAAGAAACTACTCTTTATTAAGACTGAGATAAAGATGTTGATGAATGTGTACTCTTCATTAAGAATGAGATAAAGTTTTTATTGAATGTGACCGTAGGTCATAACAATGATACCCCTAAGTAGAGAAACAACTAAATTCCTGGATTTTTTTAAGTTCTGAGAGGAAGATAGCGTAGTCACCATCAAAGATATTAAAGCGATGCTTAAAGCGCCATATAAGGTTTTAACAGATTGAACCCAAATAAAAAAATTAGAAGATACACTATCTTTATAAAAGATGGGACGATCTAGGGGAGCATGGTATGTAGAGACCTATGACTTGAAGAGAAGCGGGACTATGTGCCCACTTTAGTGATTCAAAACGATGAATTTCTCGATACTTGTTGATATTGTATGACTTATACAA